GTGCATAAGGAAACTTGAAAAAATCCAAAGAAATTTAAGGTCATGTTTTTCAATGCATAAAACAGAGAAAAAAATTTTCGAGTTTGATATTGGCTCGTATCGCCGTATATAAATTTTCCAAATTTTTAATTATTTTATCTGAAGGCCTGAAGCCCTCGAAAAATCTGAAGAAATTCAAGGTGCTTAGTTTTGTTGATATGTACTATTATGAATTTTTTCAGATTTTTTAATTACTTCAGGGCTTCAGAATGAATATAAATAAAGAATGGACGTTTATAGGGGTGGAGGGGGTAGGAGGGGGGGATGGGGAGTAAAATTTTGGCTTTAGGATTTTTTTACCATGTACTATAACATATCAAAAGCGCATCTAGATCGGTGTCATTCGAAAATTTGAAGAAGTTTTATTTTGACCCACATTTAAATCGGGTTTCCCAAATGGACTATGGAGGAAAATAAAGCCCAAAGTTATTTTTGGGATTCTTTGTTGATAATATTCAAGAAAAATTCATTCCGGATACTGTACCGCTAAATTTTTCATCAAAAATTTTTTGAGGCGTTATTTTAAAAATTAGTCAGAATCACTCACCAATGTTATTTCGAGGTCTTTATATATAGGCCGATTCTCTGTGAAGTCGAATGGCCAAAAAAATTTTTTTTCTGCAAATATGAAAATCTTGTTGTATTTGATGTCAGATTTGTCCAAAAAAATTTTTAGAAAAATTTGGGCCTTCTATGACACTTTTTCAGAGGCCCAAAGTTGGCCATTTTATGGTTTTTTTGAAATTCATGAAAAATCACAAATATTCAAATAATTCCTAGATTAAAGTAGAACCATTCAAAAGGAAAAGTGCCCATGAGCTTTTTTGTTGGAAATTGTCCAAATTTCCAAAAAAAATATTATTTTCTTCCTCTTATTTTCAAAATAATTTTCATAAAAACAATTAGATTTTGTTAATTTTCTCCTAATAAATTTTACGAACCATCAAGATACATCTATATTTTTAGAACTTTTCATATTTTCTAAAAAATTTTCTCGAATGCAAAGGCAACAGTGTCCTCTGCAACTATTGCTTTTTCAATTGAGTTGACTATCAGTGTTTCGCGCAGTAAATTGCGGAGTTAGCTTTTTATCATTCTTCGAAGCAATTCTCTATGGGGCTAACAGAACTCATTTTCTTATGCCTTTATGCTTGAGTCACATCTCTCGCAATTTTCTAACTCAAGGTTCAGCGGTACTGATAACTTACTTACCCTGTTTTTTCAAAACAATTTTTGAACTATTCTTTTTCGCATACAATCAAGCTTATGCTTATACACGAAAAGTTGAAAGTTCTTCAAATGTTAGACATCTTAGTAAGTGAATTTTCCTTTGGGCATTCGTTTCTTAATATAATATTGTTTAAAACATGAATTACTATGTGACTGCAGCCCGTACTTTCCCACGTAGAAATGCTCAACATTAATAATAGCCTAATTAACTAAAAATTATCGCTTAAAATGTTTTAAAGTACACAATGACTATAATTTGAAATTAAAATTCAAACGTTTTCTAATAATTTATGATAAAAGTGGCATAAGTTACTCACTGTGTTCGGGTTCTAAACAACGCCGAACCAAAAAGTTTAGCCTCAGGCTCCTTTTTTCGATGCATAAGTCGCAGTAATCGCATGAACGTAGCGGGTACGATTCTAACGAGGCATCCCTCCTTTTAGAGAAAAAGTATATCCACATTAAATGCATAAAATACTAAAACAGGGCCTAAAATCAATTGCGAATTTTAGGCCAGAGTGCTATAAATTACTATTAAAGCAATAATTTTTCCAAATATTATTATTCTTAAAGTTAAGAAGCCCTTGCGTCAATTATCATAGACCGTCGAGTAAGTTTTCAGACTTTCAAAAATATTGGTGATTATTGAATATCTTCCATCAATCACTGTCACTTTCCAGACAATAGACTCAAGCCCACCAGAAATTCAGGTGCCAGAAAATTGGTGCACCAATTGAGTCTTCAATAGACCGTGTAGTCTAAGAAGACAATATAGGTCGCCAAAGCTAGAACATTATTTTATTAGAACATTAGAAACGAATGCTACTGAGACTAAAGATCTGCGATTATTACGTTACATTAGCCTCTTGAGGGCCGGAAAGCCAAAATATTGGCGCACCCCCTGATCGACCCTTTGCCCATGATCGATCAATGATTTAAGATATCTTTTATGCCAGTTTTCTGTTGATGATATGACCTCTGAAATTCTGGCCCTCTAAAGGTTAAATGTACTTTTAAGCTTGTTTGTCACGGCTTTAACATCCTCTCCCCATCTCCCCCATACTAAACGCGCTTAAAGAAGTTCCATTTCAAAAAGCATGAGCCGGTCTATTTAAATGCAGTTAGACGTTTTTACTGCACTGGCGCCGTGAGAAAATGTCAACAAACAGTTTGTATTTTTTCGTTCCACTTCTCGTTCATGCGCTATTAGCTCTATATAGACATTGTCTTGCCGGGCGTCCGATCGTCTAACGATAAGCAGACGAATTTAGAGCGACACATAAGCTTTATTTATACTTGTCTGTACAACACAGCGCGTAAATTCACTATATATAGATATATCTAGTGTACATGCGTATGGCAGTTGAGCTACCATCCAACGTCGTTTCACCTGTTTACACGTCTTTGCAGGCACGTCAGTGAGATACAGCACGCATGATCCTCGTTGCGATGTGCGCGTGTTAATACGAGTTCAGTGTTTTCACTGAAATCGCGTCGAGCCTCCGAGGTTAGGATCGGCTGCTTTGTTGACTTTCGGGTCTTCTCTTTTCAAATGAAAAATCTCTCTGTTATGATTGCGAGAGTTGAGTATTCATGCGTTTACACGTGCTACAAGTGCTATCGTGACACAAGAACTGCTCTTTCATGAAAGTGTCTGCTGTCGTGTCCTGTGAATCAAAATATCATTAGACGATTTTATCATCGGTGCTTGCACTCCACCGAGGCGAATGATTTTGAACTTAACGATTAGCAACTGAGTTTTTTTAGAGAATTAGCAACAAAAACTCTTTTAAACCATGGCAGTTTACGAAGCTGGAGAAAATTCTAGTTGGAGACTAAATATAATAACGCAATTACGTGATAGGAACAAAACCCAAACACACTGTTATTTAGATCTTATCTCCCTACGTACGTCTTTTCAACTATTTTTATAAATTAATTTAATTAATATTTAACAAAATTAGTCTGATTTTTTCACATTTCTAATTATTATTTAATTTTCACAAGTATATTGTATGAGTGTAAATAATAAAAATTTCTATTAATAAGACCCATATATTTACAGACAATCGACTTTTTGACAATGCCAACACATTGCGAGGAGAGAACTTACAACTGTCCATTGCCAATGAAAAATTGCGTACTGAAGCTGCCAGTGGTGTTACTGGTACTGGTAGTAATGCAGCACTTGAGGCAAAACTATTGGCGCAAGCTGATGAGCTCACTATGTTGCATAGGAGAAGAGGTGAACATACTCAACAAATTGTTGACTTAAATAATAAATTACAAGAAGCCATGAAAGAACTTCAGCTTAAAGAATCAAGGTATTTTTTAAAGTTTTGCATATATTAAATTCAATTAATGGTGCATTCAATGTAATCCTGTAATATTTCACAGTTTGGCTGATAAAGTTGATATTAATAATGTTCTACGAGCAGAGCTAACAAGATATGCAGCTAGAGAAAAGGAATTAGAAAACATCAATCAAATGCTCAAAGATGAGCACCAGGCTTTGCAACTAGCCTTTGCCTCTTTGGAAGAAAAACTAAGAAAAGCACAAGTAAAATATTATTTTTATCTCTGAATATTATTTTCAATTTGTAATTACTATTTATTATTTTCTAGGAGGAAAACCGCCAACTAGTAGACAGGTTGATTAAGTACAAGTCAAAAGATGCAGAGAAAATGAACGAAGAAAATGATAACTTTTTAAAGTAAGTTGCAATTTTATTAGTAGTAGTTGTAGTTTTTGATTATCTTTTTTTAAAAAAAATACATGTGTTTTTAAATAATTGTTGATCACTTGTAGCATGTTATAGTCGTAGCACAAAATCAGTCCCTGACAGATTAGAAATAGTTTAATTTTTAACCAAGCTCATTTAACAGGAATCTCCATTTCGAGTCTTTAAGTGTATTACTGGGTGTTACAAATTAGCATAAATTTTAGATATTAAAATATATAAGGACTTTTATTAAATAACACAAACATTTACTAACTGGCATGATACATGATACTAATGAAGTGTAGAAATTTTTGTTGACTAGAAAATTGCTTATTTTATTTGCTTTATGAACTTGACTAATCTTCTAGTCTCAACCCATAATTTTCATTAAAATTTAGGTAATCCAATGCACATTTTGGATGAATTCACTTCTAGTAAATAACCTGTTATCACTTGTTTCTCTTGCTGAATAGCATTAATCAATTATTACTTGTTTGGCACTGACATTCGTATGGTACCTCAAGTTTTTTATCCTATGTCCAACTTCTGTTACATTCTTCGTAGCCACTTCACTGTGCTTGACATTTTCTTTCAGTGAGAGTTTCACCAGCCCGACAGCCTTTTTAATGCAAACGATTTCAAAGTTTGGGTAAGTTAAAAACTAAAACAGATGATAAACAGACTTGTTATGCCTAACACCAAATCGCTTTTGGGCTGGTAGCAAACAACCTGCTACATTATTTGGAATTATTTCTGTAAGACATTGCAGATCAATGTTAACTATTTACATGACAAAATTTGCGACAACTGATTGATAGAAACCTAGCAGGTAACATATCTAATGTAGATATAAGTTGTAAAAAATGTGACAATGAACCTGCTGATTGTACCTTTTTAGATAGTGCATGTATGTTTAAGTTATAGATTGCTGGTTGTTTATTTGTTGTGTGTTTTATAAGTGCATGTATATCTTCACTCATGACTACAAAATTATGCCTTCTCAGCAAATATTACGCGTCTAAAGTACATATATAATTAACGAAAAAAAATTCATTTTCCAGAAAAAGACAAGCAAAAATGCAAAAAGAATTAGAAGATGCAGCTCGAGATACTAGAACTGCCAGTCCAGATAGAGGTGGTACTTTAGAAGGAACAGCGCCTGTTATTCCGTCATCGTTGCCAACGAAAATTGCCATGAAGTTTGTACGTTGACGTTCATATAAGACATGTTGTTCATGCATTGTTCCTTATAATATTTATACCAAAATTCCATTAACTAATAGTCCACTGAAAATACCAAAAACATAACAAAATTTTACGCGTTAAATTAAAACATTCCATCGAACAAATTGTTGTTATATAGAGAGAACTACGATATACCTTTATATTGAAAGAAAATTTATAGAATAGCAATACATAACAAATGAAGATTTGTTCCTAGGTTATTAACTAGAATAGATAGTGATATATATAGTTTTATGTAGGCCTTCGCAGAAAAATTCAAAAATTGCGTTATTGCATATTTATACCAAATGTAGTCTGTGATTCTCAATCGTTAAAATTAAAATAGCATTTGTGAAAACAAGGATTTTTATAAATACATTTATAAATTGTTACGGGCTGAAGATCATGTTTGTTGGGTAACACATGTTAGTTTCATCTACGATAGTTACTGTAATCATGTTGAAATTCGTTTATACTGACTGTTTTCGTACAGGTGTTTCAAAATGTTTTTGAATAAAAATTATACATCAGATTTTCCAGAAAAAAAGTATTTGAATTCATATACATTTAAATAACAAAAACAAATTTGTATTTTGAAGCTATTGCGTGATTAACAAGTAACTAATAAGTACGTATTTGTGAATTTTGATACAATTTATTTAGTAAAACTTGTAGTCAATAACTAATCTATACCATAGAAGCTAGACTTCATTTGTACAGAAAATATGCACCGTAAAATTATATTGCCGCAAAATAAGCATTTGACTATGCGCTTTAGTAGTATATAATAATCCTTTCATCTTATTTTTCCAAGTCAAGAGTTACAAACGGTTTCGGTTGTCTCAATTGATAATTTTTTTCTACTTACTTATCTGTAATCAACTAATGCGTTTATTCATACTGAGTCTCGACTGCGCGAGTACACGCACACACGGCGTTTGAATCGTCGAGAGTAGTTGGGGAGCACCAAACTCTATGCGTATATCCATCAACGCGATGAGTTTTTCGATCTTGAAAAAAGTATTTTATTCTGTGAAAAAGGGGAAAGAAAAAAATGTTCATCTGCATGAATAGTGAGATTAATAAATTTAGATTTACAAAAATTCAAACAAAACAAATCAAAACAAAGAAAAAAGAAAGACCGTACACAATTACTCATGGCTTTCATATACATTAAACACACGCGTAACATGTTAACTTGTATCACAGCCATACGCTTCAATGCATTTCATTTACATTCCAATGTATATAAGAGTTTGTGTGACAAATTATTCAGCAAATACGTGTATGTTATAACCCTCGTTGCAGAATGCTCACGAGGGTGAGGTAAATGCCGTCAGATGGTCGCCAACGGACAGGATACTGGCTACAGGTGGAGCTGATCGCAAGGTCAAGTTGTGGGACATCGCCAAAGGTATGCAATGATTTTAATCAATTTTTATTCAATTTTATCTCATTATTTTAAACGATTGAATGCTAGCTATTCGAAAATTACTTGAAAAAGCTTGGTGCACAGTATTTACTATAATGACAATTACAGAAGCTCGAAAAAAAATCATTCTCAATAACAGCCGAAGTGCCTCTTATTGTTTTCATTTTTCGCACTCGAGCTTTCGTTTCCTTATTATTTCGTTCTTGTTGAAAAAACCCAACAATGAATGAAAAAAACTACTCCACTGCCTTGCGATAAATAGTGCATTGAAAAGGATTAAAGATTAAAAAGACAAGATTCTTCGGAGTATCCCTCGTTATTTGCGCAGATTCCAGCGGGTGAAATAATTTTCACGGCCGCAATTTCCTTCACGGCCTGGTAACGATGCAGAAATTCTTCACGCATAGGCGTGTTTATTAAAAGCTCGAGGAGAATAAAAAAAGGCACGAATCCCGCTCGCTTCTCCTTGAGGGATTCTATTTATCAAAAGCTCTACATCTGCGCGAGTGACGGTATGCGCTTTGGTAATCTTTTTCAAAAATAAGTTATGTTGTCTCATCTGTCTTGTTAAAAATAATTGTGCTCTATTCATGTTACTTTACATTCGGGCCAAGCCTATTATACGTCATTTCCGAGGCACTAGGAGCTTCTTTTGAGCTGACATTATTAAAGTGGCCCTCTCCGAGCATTTTTTTTCAATTTTTTTATTAATAATACGGGTAGGTCGTTGTTTTTTTCGCTTTATATGTAAAACGATTGTCACTTTTTCCAATATTATATCATATACTCGTTTATATGCGCGAACATACGAAATATCGATATTTCGTGCGACATACATATCCCTGCATACACATATATATTGCTGTTTTGCTTTGCAATTCTGTAGTATCGGTCTCGGACATCAGCGCCAATATTTTAAATTTTTTCCACATAGACGCGCCTGCATATAAGCACGAGAGAGAGTATTATACGTTCGGGTGCGTGCTTGTTTGCGAGCGCGCAATGTGTGGCAGCTATGCGTGAAAATGAATATAATACTTTATACATTCTCATATAGGTACATTCAAAATCAAAAGTTCCGATTGGGCAAGGCTCTTCGGAACAATAATAGTGAAATTATTTATAGAGATTGGATGTACTTTCAAGAGCCAACGTCGTAAAAGTTGATATTTCACACACGCGTATAATTTCCTCGCCAATTTCTTGATTAACTTAATCACTTGACTTACAGGAAGTTACGAATGCAAAGGAATGCTGATGGGCAGCAATGCCGGAGTCATGTCCGTCGATTTTGATAGCGGTGGCAATTACGTTCTCGGAGCCTCAAACGACTTTGCGAGTCGCGTCTGGACCGTCGCGGATCTTCGATTAAGGGTAAGTTATATTTTTTACTATCATATTCCTTTAATAAATGTATCGAAATTTGCGTAAATGTATTATGGAATCATCGTTTTTATGAAACAACTCGTTTTGCGCCTGGCGAGAAAAAGAAATATATTCTTCTCAATTCCAGTCGTACAAAAGTGCGGAACAAATCGATTATCGGGATATTCATACTACTGGCCATAAAAGCACGATTCCTCAAATGCAAACGAAATTTACCTGCGAGAAAATCCCTTTTAATGCGATATTCTCGGCGTAATTCAAGGCTTACGTTGCATACAAAATGACAAAGCAAAAAAAGTCGGCCAACCGGACCGACTAGCGGTTGTACAGAGCCGAGCGTTACGCTGCTGCCGCCTCAGTGTCGTCGTCGACTTTGGAGCGTTGCAGCACGGGAAATGTCTGTTTTTTCGCCTCATTACGCTCAGTCGCATAAATAGGAGAAGATGCGCAACTGCTGCGTACACGTATAACAGCTGCAAACTCGCTGCTGACAATACACTTTTCCACGCACCGCAGCGAGAAAGTTTGCTCGCGCTTCAATCGTGCGCTACATCCGCGCGTCTCTATAATGCATTACACGCGGCGGCCACTTGCGAGTATACTTTGCCTCCGCGCGCACGCAGCAGCTAGTCGAATGATTTTGATTTTAACGTGCAGCAGCAAAGAAGAAAACGTCATTAAAACTTTTTCCCCAACGACACTATCTGCTCGGAGCCGAGACTGTGCGGACGCGGCGCAGGGAGGGGCCGCAAGCACGCCGGTTTATTCAAATATTTTAACAACTTCATGAAAAGCTTTACACGCCCGGCTTTGCCTCGCTATTTTCTTACGACAGTATTTTTCGTGAAAAACGCAAGAAGGGAGCCAGCGAGCGAGTGGGACGAGAGAAAGAGAGGAAAAGGAGCTTATTCAACGGCTTTCTTGTGTATTGTAAATAATATGCCTGCTTAGGTTCGTTCGCGCATACATAAAGCTCAACTGCAAATGGAGAGAATGTTTCAGTTGGAAAGTTTTCGACAAACTATTGCCGCGCGCACATTAAGTTCGAAGTTTATCTTGCGCGTATGCGCGTGTGTCGGCATTATGCGTTCGCATATCGTTATATCGCGCAAGATGCTTATAACACTCGATGATCGTATTTCTCGCGCTGTCGCGTTCCTATATCGAACGACTATGCGAGTTCGCTTCTTTACTTTTTTTACGCTGCTGCTGCTGTTGCTGCAAGCTCGAAAAATACGACAAATTCTTTTCTTCCGCAGACGTAATTTAGAGCGAGAATGTACCGATGAACGTATTACTCGTTTAGGAGGTAAAATGAGAGTAGCACATCTTATGAGCCTCTTTCGCATCAATGTACATAAATAATTGTTTTTCTCGCCTTTTCTTTCTCTCTCTCTCTCTCTCTGTGCATGACGAGCCTCTTTCTTTTCATCATTCAGCCGGGCGTTGAACAACGCAGCAGTAAAAGCAAGAGGCATCGCACGCAGGAAGCTAGTCAGAAAACGAGATAGTAAAGTTGAAAGCTACTTGAACTTGGTCTATGCACTCTGCTCTCGTGCCAGGGGCCGAAGAGGCCACAAGCTCTCATCCTGATGAGATATATAAACTCGCACGCTGTCGCCGTAGTCGCAGTCGTAGTCGTCGCCGTTGCCACGAAGCTTTTGTTTTGCTTTTGTGCGAGGCTCGACTCGCCGTACATAACGCAAAACACAAGTCCCGTTGTAACATTTTGATTCATTAGCTTGGAATTCTTGCTGTGGGGTAAAAGCTCGTGCCCGAGAGCAGCGACCGCACACATTGCAAGCTCAACAATGCAATGTGTAGTAACGCTATACCTGCTTGTTTTCGTCTTTTAATACGCGCGCGAATGTATTATTTGACCATACTCGAATACATTTACTCTTACTTAAATCTCCTCCGCGCGGGAGCTTTATTGCTTTTCCCTTGACGGTATACATAATTTCTTCATGTTTGAACTTATACGCGCACGCGGCTATTCTTCGTCGCGTAAACAGTCATATTTGAATTTTACAACCGTTCGTAACTCGAGAGGAAATCTGGCATGAAGTTTGAGCCATTTCACTGCGCTCGGTATCTGTCGTTCTCTCTCTCACTCGTACTCTTTTGTCCTGTTACACTTGATCGGGCAAAAAAGCCCTGGGTGAAGCAGAGTGTAAGCGTATAAATACGTATGTCGACGTCTTTTGCGCGATACTTAATGTGATTATTCCAACTCTGAGGCGTGCGTGTGTTTATTTTTCTTCTTTCTCGATTCCCTTTTTTTTCTCCTTTCACACGTTAGTTTCATTGAATTAAAAAAGAGACCCAACCGCTGCTGCCGCTGTTTCATTTCCGAGATTGCTCGGGTAATGGCGCGTAAAAAGCTCGCTGCACGCGTACATATTGATGCGATGCGGTTACTTTTCTTACATATACACACCATTATCTTGTATACATTGGCTATTTGCACAATTTCAGCACTTCGAGAGAGAAATTTATAATTCGCTAAACGTGAACGGACTCGTGGCTCTTTTTCTCACGCATATTTGTCTGAATATATTCGTAGCGTAAATTATTCATGTGCGATTTGGAGAAAAAAAATGATTCTGGGCTTTAAGTCTCGACACATTAGAGTATATTAAAATTGTAGCCAAAAAGCTCTTGGGTTTATACGAGGATCATTATCGTACGCGCATCCCTTAGAAGCTTTGATAATTCGTTTTTACTATTCATAAATATAGTAAAAGATAACTCACTGTCCATAAATATAGTATAGTACATAACTTTTAGCCGTTAAATTTAATCTGTGCAAGTATCCCGTATATGTAAATCTCAAAGCTGTAATAAGATTAAAAGTTCAATCGCTTTTTATTTTTTGGACAAACAAATTTAGGTTTCAATTCATTTGAGTTTTTGATCTTTTACAATTTTTTTGTTAAGTACCTTAAATCCGAAAATCCTATACGATGTTTTTTCTAAAACAAACTCACATAAAGAATTTTTTTTAAATTTCACAAAATCCTCAATTGGTTACCGTACTTTTTCGTGACTAATCAAAAATGTCCCTCTAACGACGGATGATGTCTGCTCATGTACTAATGAGTTACGATTCGTACGATGTAGCTTCGTCGCTGATTAGCCATTGGCGTGTAGTTCGGTTCGATTTTTTTGACGAACGGTAGTCTTAATTATTTCTCTACGCGACTGAAAGTGATTAAATCTGGTCGCAGGTTTTTTACCGGTACGATGCGCGTGAGAATAGGCTCAGTAGTAAGTTTGCACGTGTTACTTTTTATTTTGCGATAAGAACATTTGGTCAATGCGAGAAATAAATTGCATTGAATTACATTTGCCCTAAAAATTCTTGCATCTTATTAATATTTAGGTCTTTTTCCACTATAACCAAGCGAATCCTAAATTACTTTAAAATGATAATGAGAATTGAAATTTTCTCTCCCAATATAGAAAACTAATTTTAGAAAAAAGTTGCACAAAGCAATGTTTATAAATAACATTATAGATTACCATTAAATCACACTTTCAATAAATATTTTTAATTTTCTGCATTTGAAATAAAAATCGTCAATTAAAAGGTTCTAAAGCTTTTTCAATAAGCCACTCAAAATATGGTTATTTGACAACCGAATGGTCTATGAATTACACAATTATTTTAACTATGTCGTTTGCAGATTTACAGATTATAATACTCGCCATCTAGTGGTGAAAACTTGTCTAATTTTTTGAAATAATAAAATTGTAATTTTAGGTAATTTAAAATGCGTTTAATATTTATAACATAATTATAACAGGAATTTGCCAAAAACTAGACAATGGAATGGTATTACATTTTAAAACATTTAAATTCCCTTTTTTAATCATCAGACGATAATTAATGTTGAGTATTTCTACTAGGGTTTGCATATAAAACTTTAGTTCGAAAATAGCTTTTTCAGAATTCTTATAGGGTGATATTTCCATGTGAGGCGACAGCTTCGAATTGGCAATGAAAAAAGTTTCTAATTTCACAGTCAATGGTCGAAACAAACTTGGTATCAAGCACAGTTTGCCAAATTATGCAAGCAGTTCTTTTCTAGCCAAACTACACTTTTCGCCTGTAAATGCCTTGCGCGAAGGACTCGTGTTAATCATATCATTCGTCGCCAGTGAAATGGAGCCACTGCGACGATATAACGGCAATAATGAGCTCGTATACGACCTGAGATAATGAATGTAAAGCTTAGTGGCGCGTACGCTCTTCATCTCGTGCAGCACAATGTTGCATTAATTTCTAATAAAAGCCTAACAGTTCGTAGTTGTGGCCTGATGATGCACACACATTCGAAATGGCACTTTTGATGGTAGACAATTTTTGCAAATCTTGCCATTATTCGTGACCCACACAGCCATTTTAAAAAAACCTTCATTTGGCTTTAAACTTTTATTTTGTTATTTTTCGTATTTTAATATTTTATTTTACATTATCGGTTAAAGGACTCCAAAAGTCTGAGTATGGTTTTTAATAATTATTTTTTTTCAGTTGACTCTTTTATTTTATGTTTATGTAAACTTGACGAAATTTCTACTAAAAAGAGCTTTACAGACACGATTTGCAGCGTACTAACTTACAAACTTGGCTAACACTCGAGCAAGCAGCGAAAACAAAGTCAAATGTTCTCAAGTTCACAAACAACACTTGCGTATCAATAGACGGACTTTGAAGTAAATATTATTTAGCACTGCGAAGGTTCAGTTTGCCTCAGTCGTGTAAATAACGAAAAGTTCACTCGCGTATGTACTATTGAAATAGTCGAGTATTTATGGACGCCCGAGACGAAAAGTAGCGAAACGCCCATCAGAATTGAAAAATATAATGTCACGTTTGATAGAGAAAAGAGTATAGGATGTATTTGTGGCTGTCGCTGTTGAGATGAGCCGCATTAAAAATTGCTTTTTATTTGGTACCAAATTTTGGACTTACAATTATTACT